AGTACAGTGAGACCAAGAGATGGGGATTTAATGGGTGGATCAAGAGTGTCCCTAGGTCAATAAGTCTAATTTTCCCTTGGACTTACATTATATAATTTTTAATTGGTGAGTTATGTACAAAATACGCACCATAATTCCATGAAAATGAAAATTGTCTCCCAATTTAAACTGATTCAATCAATATATTTCAACACATTATGGACATTATTGGGGAATTGAATACTGATACCTCTGTATGGTACTTAGAAATGTTGGCATTCTTTGTCAAATTAATGTTCAAGTGAAAAACAGAGAAGGAAGTCATTCTATGCTGGAGGTAATTTTTTTAAATTAGCTAAATGGATGGTAAATTGGTGAGAGAACTGCCCAAGAACTTTTCTTACATCAATTTTAGGGTTGGAAATATCTGTTTCTGGTAATTTGACCTGAAACTTATCTGCAGTATTATCACAAAAGGTCCCTGTGTTGAGTCAGTGTCCTCATGTTGGGCCTTTTTATGAATTTTTCATGGGGAAATAAGTGTCTGCATGTTGAGGTGTCTGCATGTGGGGTCTCACTATCATTTTTTGTCTGTCAGAAGGTGGGATTTCGCAGTAAAATTTAGATGATTAATTGTGGGTACATTTTGTTGTGCTGCCTGATTTTTAGTATGGCATATGTTTGTTTTCAGAAAAGTTTATCCAACTGAGGAATGTATATATATGAAGAAATTTTAGGGAGTGCGGCCATGATACAGTATAAGTTTTCTCATCGTGGAACGATAAATTTAATTTAGACTTATAGAGTAAAGCACACGTTCATATATATAGTCGCTGCGTGGATCACATACAAGGTGCGACATCTGTCTCTTTTCTGCTATCTTGCATTAAAGTTATTTCATGGAGAAGTACTTTACTTGTCTAGGATTTTCTTCTTGTGAAAGGAAAACAAAGGATTGATGGGATAAAAACGTACACGTTGATTTTTTTTCGCTCGCGATGGGGCACAGTCTAGGTGCGACATCTGTTTATTTCTCGCTTTTCTTGTAAGTATTTTTATGCTCCCGATCCCTATTTTCTCATCCATCAAAAGCGAGATTTCACAGTTGATCGAGGCGTTTACGCGTAGACGAAGCAAAAAATAAAAATGAAATGAGCAAACGGTTCGTACAGGTGATGAATTGTTCATTTTCGATATGTGCTTTCACATGGTAGTTCATGTGAACCTACGCGTATATTTTTCCGCTGTCTGATGGACTCTACTGTATATTCTATATATATTCGAAATATCTGTTTCTGTTCGCATAGTTATATTTTTTTCTCGCGATCTTTTGCTTCACCATTATTATTTTCTCATCCATCAAAATAACGATTTTTCATGCTGGAATGAAACTTCAGAAGGGAAAGAGAGAACGAATTGCCAACGGGACAAATGACGCATTGTTCGAACCGTTTTTCCTCCCAGAGAAAAAAATACAGCTATTTCGCACATAATGAGAGACTCAAAGAACGAAAATTCTGCATTACGAAATTTTAAAGGGGAAGAGACTAACATATACTGTATCACGAATTTGTTTCGCATAACGAAATGTTTCAACCCAAAAATTGGTCAAGTATCAACGAATTTAAAACTAAAACTCCGGATTTTCTTTTTTCAAAAAAATTGAGGGAAATGCGAAAAGAAAGGTTTATTATTGGCTCTTCTGATTTTTAGAATTTGAAAAATTATGAGAGGTCAGAGCGAAAACTCATCAGAATTTCATTCTCATGTGATTTATTTCACAATTTAATTCTGGAAACTGGGGAAACAATTTTCAAGGATTTATTGTGGTGTTTTGGTAACAAATTCTAAATTAAACATGTGGGGTTTGTTTCCATTTTCATCCCCATTTGATCTTCATTTTTCCATTATTCAAGACACTATTTTACTTTGAAGAGAACCTTTTGAGAGAGAGAAAAACAATTTCAATGGTATTGGATGGATAAATATATTGTGTTGTTAGATTTTTTTTTTTGCTTCAAGGAAACATGGTGTTGGATAAGTGGTCACATAAAAATGATGATTCATCATAGACTTGAATAAAGTATTCTCACTTGCAATTTCAGATCATTTTCTGTGACAAAAGATGGAAGTCTGTACCTGAAGGAAATGAAGGGCCTCAACGTATCCAATGCTCACTTCATTGTGATGGCACAGGACAGTGGGAATCCACCAAGACAGGTACTGTATTTGCATTTTTTTAAATATTTGCACTCTTTGCAAAGTTTTATCATTTATTCTTTTTCTATAGTCATCTGTGCCAGTTCAAGTTGTTTTTCCTGAGGAACTGGTGGCAACCTGGGGAGGACTGGAAGGATCTGCTTTGTTGCTCATCATTCTGGGGATTTTACTTGGACTGCTGTTTTTCATTGTTGTTGCATTGGTATTCTACATATCCAGAAAGTGAGTTGTTTTTTTTTATGCACAATCAGTTGGAGTTCCCCAGGCTTTCATGTTCTGTAGACTGGCAAATTTCTATGAAATTTTTGCAAACAGAAACTTGATTTTCTCAACTTGTGACTTCTCAACCCAGGAACTTTTTATTGCCTTCAAAGAAACTGAAATGCCACTGTGTTTGAAGAAAAAAAATCCCAACCTACCCCAGGGATGGAAATACAGTGAGACCCCCACATGTGGACACCCACACATGCAGGCAATTTGACAAATGGACACTTATTTTCCCATAAAAAAATGCCCACCATGAGGACCCTGACGCAACATAGGGACATTTTATGATAAAATTGCAAATACATTTCAGGCCAAATTATGAGAAACAGATATTTCCAACCCTAAAATTGATGTATGAAAAGTTCTTGGGCATTTCTCTTGCCAATTTACCATCCATTTAGCTAATTTAAAAAATTATCTCCAGCGTAGAGGGACTTTCTTCTTTCTTTTTCACTTGAATGTTATTTTTACAGAGAATGCCAACATTTCTGTGCACTGTACATAAGTATCAGTGTTCAATTCCCCTAATGTCCATATTGTGTAGTAATATATTGATTGAATCAGTTTAAATTGGGGGACAATTTTTATTTTTATGGAATTATGGTGACTATTTTGCCCATAAAACAGCAATTAAAATTTATTTAAGGTAAGTCTAAGGGGAATGAGACTCAACTTGGCGACATTTTTACTTAGGGACACTATTGATGCACCAATTACGTTTGCATCTTGGGGTCTCACTGTAAGCAGGTTGTTTGCATATCTGGATGTGATCAGGGATAATGGAACCACAAGTTTAACTTCTTTTATCATCTTCCTTTGGTTTTGTTTTGTTTTTCTTTTTAGCAAACGTGTTGGGGGAGCAGACAGTGAAGCCAGTCTGGTGGGCTCTTCCCCACCGCCTCCATCCTCAGTTTTCAATGCCCCAGCCCTGAGTCAAGCCGGCGGTGTCAAGTCCTTGTACATGTCCACCACTCTGTCCTCGCCGGGAGTGACATCTGACCAAGAGAACCTCGTCTCCACCATGCACCGCAACCTCAACGCGTCTCTCGGCGGTCCAAACGGCGGCGGAGGCGGACGCCATTTCCGAAGTCGCACCCCGGAACCCTTCCCAGTGTCTCGCAACACCGGCACTTTTGCTAAAAACACAGTGAGGCGGAGTTTGCATCATCTGCATTATCAGAACGCGTCCATTCAAACGTCGCCGTTGAAGCGGAATAACAAGGCAAGGGCGAGTCAATTGACGCCTGGTGTGGTGAGGAACGGATTGACGAATCCGTTGGCACACAGCGAGGAAGTGGACACCTTCTACAGGGTGTGTTATTTGTTTTTCCCCCCCTGGTTACAACTGATGCATTTTAATATTTCTTACAATGAAGAACACAAAACATTTAATTTATATCTGAGTTGAAACTGAATTCAACAGCTCTTTTATTCTTCATGTGTATAGTATTGATGCATACTATCATAAAGCCATATGTAAGTTAGTTTATGGTAATTACAGTATTCATGCAAATATGAGCATAATTCTTTTCCAGTTGTAGAAGCTCAAAACTAATGAGCTTCTACTCATGCTTATATACAGGTGGTATATAAGTGTATACAGGTAGACTCTCTCTCTACAATGATCTTGTCTACAACAATTTTTTCTGCAGTAAAATTTATCTGGCCCCATGGGTTTCATTCCCCATGTTATGGGGGTTTTCTGTAACAAAATTTTCCTTAAAAACAAATTTTCTGCCCCCTTTAATTTCCTTGTATATAGGGAGAGAGTCCATCAGCATTTGTTTATGCATGGAATTCACACAAATATGTTTTTATATCAGGAAATGTTCCTGTTTGTAGCCCAAAAAATGATCAAGCACTTCTTTCTTTCAGTTCTTTTAAAATTTAAATTAAAAATAGCCAAGAAATAGCCAGCTCTTAGCACTTCAAAATTCATGATTTATTGACTGGCAGAGAAGAACAAGGATTGCATGACACCTTTTTCCCTTTTTTTTTAAAAACACTTAAATTTATAGTTGGAAATTTTAGGTTCCTGGAAAGTCTGAACAGTTCATAAGTGGGTAGTTATATTTCAATATTAATTTACCAGTGTTTGATTTTGTGCAATGGAAAATCTAGGTAGTTCTCATATATTGGCATGAATATGACAAATGTTCCAAATTGATTTAGCTCTGATTGGTTTTCTGAAGATTGAAAATTTCCACCATGTGACGCACCTATGATTTGTATGAAAAATTTCTGAAAATGTAGAAAAGTTGGTGCCCACATCACATGCAGCTTTTTTGCATTTCAAAAAAAACATGGGAGTGGTAATTGAGTAAAATACAGTGCAGTCATGTTCTGCATCATGTACTCATACTCAGAACTGCAGATGACTCAACAAATACTTTTTGAAAGATGGTGTTCATGCTATACTTGTTTGTTCATATAAACTTCAGGCATTTATTATTCCACCATTAAAAAACTTGTAAAGTTGTTTGCATTAAAGATTTATATAGTGTTGAGAAAATGAAAATGATTCAATTCCAGGTTCAACTCACATCAACGTCTTGTTCCTCTCTCTCATCCCACACCAAAGAATTGACCTTTGATTTCGCAGATCCAATTCTTTGCTGCTGCTGCTGCTGCTGAGAGAAGCGCTGTTTGCCAGAGTTGCCAACGTCCTCACCCCGTTTGTTATTCTTGTCTCGCATTGGAGGCGAATACGAAGCCTGTGACGATTCTGAGCCATCTTCTGACCCGGACGACGTGAGCACTGGAGTAGAAAGTTCCCTGGTGACCGGTGGCGCCGGTGCTGGCGCCTTTTTCCGGTTGTTGGCGCTGGGCGGCGGCGGCGGAGGCGGCGGCGCCTGGACCTTATTGGCGTCGTGTCGGGACCGGATCGATTGTTCCTTCAATTTCCAGAAGATGAAAAAAAAATAAATGGTGAGTCTGTGAGTTTTGAAAACAGGGATACAAGTTTTATTGTGGGAATACATTGAAAATTTTCACTAAATTGTACAGTGATATTCTGGACCTTAAATTGCTTCTAAAATGCGTTGACAGGGCACTTAACTTGGAGACAGGGGTTCATTTGCCCAATTTAGTCAGTCATATCCTTTCAAAAGCACATCACGTTCCATTCTTTATTGCTTATTCTTTCCTGTTTCAATGTAATTATAGCCAAAAAAAGCCTAATAAATTTGACTCATGGAGGTTTTTGAGAAAGAGCCTTTGAGTTAGGGAGGTTTTTAAGGCATTGTTTCTAAGGGAACTCTGATGGGGATTTTGAAATTGTTTACTTAATTAGGAAGGTATACAACTTAGGTCAGGTTTGACTTAGCAAGGTTCAACTACATTATTTTTAATGCAATTTGATGTAACAAGGTTCTACTGTAACACCTTTTTGTTATACAGTAGTAAAGATTTCCATCATCTTCCAATGAATTATGATTTATGATGAAATGTTAATGCACCGTTCACCCAAGTGTGGCACTACTTTTGCTGTGACCCCACAGTAGGTGCACACCAGGGTCACAACTGGTGCATATGGGATATTCTGGGGTTACAAGTGTGCACTCCTGTAGAGGAAATTTTGCTACCATTCCAGGGTTACACTTGGTGCACAAATGTGAAATAACAGGAGCATCACACAAATGCACCAACTGTAATCTTGGTGTAACTTATTTGTTTACAAATGTGACCCTGAGTAATCCTGGTGTGAGCACACAAATGGTGCACATTGGGGATATGCACGTGCAACAGAATTGAACTTTGGTACACTTCAGGTGCACAGCAGGGTCACTGCGTAGAATTATGAACAAATCCCCAGTGTGCACCAATTTCCCCACTCAGGGCAGTGCAACCTGATTTTCAAAGGAAATCCAGTACTTTCCTGTTATCTCAGTACCCATTTTTCTTTGTCTCGTGAATTCAGTAGGTTAGGTCAGGTTATGTTAATTGAAAGATATTTGTAACTAACATAACCTGACCTAACCTAGATGAAAGAAACTTCACTTCACCTAACTGCCTCCCAAAATCAGTTTCTGCTTTCTTTGGGTTTCTGCTGAAACTGATTTTGGGAAGCAGTTAGGGAAAGTTAGGTTAGGTCAGGTTAAGTTAATTGAAAGATATTTGTAACTAACATAACCTGACCTAACCTAACTTTACCTAACCGCCTCCCAAAATCAGTTTCAGCAGAATGCGGAAAAAAGAAATTTACAGTTTCTGGTAGGTGCACGGTACTGAGATAAGAGGAAAGTACTGGAAATCCTTGTGGAACTTTACTTTTGATGTCTATTTGAATGCTGTCTATTGATGTCTATTTTTTATCAAGATTTAATTTTGGCTGGAAAAATAAACTCGGATTAGAACTATGCTTTAAAAAAACAAAAAAAAACAAATAACACACCCTGTAGAAGGTGTCCACTTCCTCGCTGTGTGCCAACGGATTCGTCAATCCGTTCCTCACCACACCAGGCGTCAATTGACTCGCCCTTGCCTTGTTATTCCGCTTCAACGGCGACGTTTGAATGGACGCGTTCTGATAATGCAGATGATGCAAACTCCGCCTCACTGTGTTTTTAGCAAAAGTGCCGGTGTTGCGAGACACTGGGAAGGGTTCCGGGGTGCGACTTCGGAAATGGCGTCCGCCTCCGCCGCCGTTTTGACCGCCGAGAGACGCGTTGAGGTTGCGGTGCATGGTGGAGACGAGGTTCTCTTGGTCAGATGTCACTCCCGGCGAGGACAGCGTGGTGGACATGTACAAGGACTTGACACCGCCGGCTTGACTCAGGGCTGGGGCATTGAAAACTGAGGATGGAGGCGGTGGGGAAGAGCCCACCAGACTGGCTTCACTGTCTGCTCCCCCAACACGTTTGCTAAAAAGAAAAATAACAAAACAAAACCAAAGGAAGATGATAAAAGAAGTTAAACTTGTGGTTCCATTAACCCTGAGTCCCTGATACATCCAGATATGCAAACAACCTGCTTACAGTGAGACCCCAAGATGCAAACGTAATTGGTGCATCAATAGTGTCCCTAAGTTGAAATTTCCCTAAGAACAGTCTCATTTTCCATTAGACTTACATTATATAATTTTCAGTTGGTGTTTTATGGACAAAATACTGACCATAATTCCATGAAAATAAAAATTGTCCCCCAATGGAAACTGATTCAATCAATATATTCCAATGGAATATGGACATTTGGGGAATTAAATACTGATACCTCTGTAAATTACATATAAATGTTGGCATTCTCTGTAAAAATAACATTCAAGTGAAAAAGAGAGAAGGAAGTCTGTCTATGCTGGAGGTACTCTTTTTAAATTAGCTAAATGGATGGAAAACTAGCAAGAGAAATGCCCAAGAACTTTTCATACATCAATTTTAGCGTTGTAATTTGGCCTGAAATGTATTTGCAATTTTATCACAAAATGTCCCTATGTTGAGTCAGTGTCCTCATGTTGGGCCTTTTTTTATTAATTTTTTATGGGAAAGTAAGTGTCCCTATGTCAAATTGTCTGCATGTGGAGGTGTCCACATGTGGGGGACTCACTGTATTTCCATCCCTGGGGAAGGTTGGAAATTTTTTTCAAACACATTGGCATTTCAGTTTCTTTGAAGGTAATGACAAGATCCTGGGTTGAGAAGTTACAAGTTGAGAAAAATCTAGTTTTTGTTTGGAAAAATTTCATGAAAATGTGCTAGTCTGCAGGCCCAAAAAGCCTGGGGAACACCAACTGATTGTGCATAAAAAAAAAAACAACTCACTTTCTGGATATGTAGAATACCAATGCAACAACAATGAAAAACAGCAGTCCAAGTAAAATCCCCAGAATGATGAGCAACAAAGCAGATCCTTCCAGTCCTCCCCAGGTTGCCACCAGTTCCTCAGGAAAAACAACTTGAACTGGCACAGATGACTATAGAAAAAGAATAAATGATAAAACTTTGCAAAGAGTGCAAATATTTAAAAAAATGCAAATACAGTACCTGTCTTGGTGGATTCCCACTGTCCTGTGCCATCACAATGAAGTGAGCATTGGATACGTTGAGGCCCTTCATTTCCTTCAGGTACAGACTTCCATCTTTTGTCACAGAAAATGATCTGAAATTGCAAGTGAGAATACTTTATTCAAGTCTATGATGAATCATCATTTTTATGTGACCACTTATCCAACACCATGTTTCCTTGAAGCAAAAAAAAAAATCTAACAACACAATATATTTATCCATCCAATACCATTGAAATTGTTTTTCTCTCTCTCAAAAGGTTCTCTTCAAAGTAAAATAGTGTCTTGAATAATGGAAAAATGAAGATCAAATGGGGATGAAAATGGAAACAAACCCCACATGTTTAATTTAGAATTTGTTACCAAAACACCACAATAAATCCTTGAAAATTGTTTCCCCAGTTTCCAGAATTAAATTGTGAAATAAATCACATGAGAATGAAATTCTGATGAGTTTTCGCTCTGACCTCTCATAATTTTTCAAATTCTAAAAATCAGAAGAGCCAATAATAAACCTTTCTTTTCGCATTTCCCTCAATTTTTTTGAAAAAAGAAAATCCGAAGTTTTAGTTTTAAATTCGTTGATACTTGACCAATTTTTGGGTTGAAAAATTTCGTTATGCGAAACAAATTCGTGATACAGTATATGTTAGTCTCTTCCCCTTTAAAATTTCGTAATGCAGAATTTTCGTTCTTTGAGTCTCTCATTATGTGCGAAATAGCTGTATTTTTTTCTTTGGGAGGAAAAACGGTTCGAACAATGCGTCATTTGTCCCGTTGGCAATTCGTTCTCTCTTTCCCTTCTGAAGTTCCATTCCAGCATGAAAAATCGTTATTTTGATGGATGAGAAAATAATAATGGTGAAGCAAAAGATCTCGAGAAAAAAATATAACTATGCGAACAGAAACAGATATTTCGAATATATATAGAATATACAGTAGAGTCCATCAGACAGCGGAAAAATATACGCGTAGGTTCACATGAACTAC